AAGAGCATGGAACGTGTTCTTAACAATAGACTCCTGGCATACCTTGAAGGTAACGATCTCCTCAGCGATCGGCAATACGGGTTTCGACGTAACCGATCGACTGGGGACCTTCTTGCGTATGCCACTCACATATGGAGCGAGGCCATAGAGGGGCACGGAGAGGCACTAGCAGTCTCCCTCGATATTTCGAAGGCCTTTGACAGGGTATGGCACGACAGTCTAATCGGCAAGCTTCCTGCATATGGACTTCCTACTGGTCTGTGCAGATGGATAGCAGACTTTCTGAGGGATCGGTCAATACGAGTAGTCATCGATGGCTGCTCGTCTGACCAATTCGGTATTAATGCCGGCGTCCCTCAGGGGTCAGTACTTTCAGCGACGCTCTTTTTGCTGCACATAAACGACCTGCTTAAGCCCGGTATCTTTGGGTATGCAGATGACAGCACAGTTGTTGAAAGGTATGTGTCCGGTGCGCGGACTAGCGGAACACAGATCCAGTCTTTAAGAGAATCCATGGTCGAACGTTTGAACTCGACCTTGAAGGCGGTGTCCGACTGGGGTGACGCCAACTTGGTTAGGTTCAATGCTAGCAAGACCCAGGCGTGTCTATTCTCCGCCAAACGGAGTCAATTTCCGCTGACTCCTACTTTCCGGAATGTATCCGTACCGATAACCGATCGTCTTGAGCTTCTTGGTGTAACTCTGACGCCCACGCTCAACTTTGGCTCCTATATAGAGTCAAAAGCGCAACTGGCTGGTAGGAAGTTGGGTGTCCTTTGGAGGGTGAGACGGTACTTCACGCCGAAACAATTGCTGAGCCTGTACCAAGCACAGGTTCGGTCCTGTATGGAGTACTGCTCTCATCTTTGGGACGGCTCGGCTAAATATCAGCTGGACGCGTTAGAGCACATTGAGAGGCGTGCCAGGAGGCTCATCGACGATGATGCGCTTGTGAAGGCTCGGCTTCAAAGCCTCGAACACAGGCGTAAGGTTGCAAGCCTTTCGGTTTTCTACCGGATACATTTCGGGGAGTGTGCGGGGGAATTGCACAACTTGATTCCCCCTAGTCCTTTCCATCATCGTACCACAAGACAATCCGCGAAGCGTCACCGATTCATGGTAGATGTTCCGCCCACACGCACGAAGCGCTTTGCTTCAAGCTTCCTTGTGCGTACTGCTAAAGAGTGGAATTCTTTGCCAGAGTCTGTATTTCCTGAAGGGTATAACCTGGGAGTCTTCAAGGCCCGAGTGAATAGGTTGCTTATGGGACGACGTGCTCCAACGTAGACCGCATCATCGCTTACCAACAGGTGAGATAGTGGTCAAACGTCGCCCCATCAATTATAAAAAAAAAAAAAAAAAAAAACATCAATAAATAAAAAACTACTTGTTTGATTTAGGTGATTTTAGTTTTAATTTATTGTCAATATACCAATAAACATTTATTAATATTAATGCTTTTTAGAAATATCATTCGTTTTAAAAATACCAAGTAAATTAGTATCAATTTTGTTTTGAGTCACTATTTTGGTCTATAGAAAATTGCATTTACCTTAAAAATCTATATTACACTAAGCGTACAAACTATTAGAAAAACTTCCTTGGTTCATTAAGTACCCATAAACTACTCAGGGCTATTTTTGTAGGAAATTAATTGTACTATAACTTCCCGAGAGGAATACGTCGAGTTACAAGTCACTGTCATGCGATTATAATATTATTGTAAGATAGATTTTCTATTCTTTCTTTTCTATGGAACTAATAAACACAGAAATAACAGGAAAATCGTACTTATATATTGCAATATTGTACCAAAAATAATAACAATAACGTTTCTTTCTTTCTTTGATCCTCAACACAGGAGGAAGGATGTAATAGGGACGACCCTAATCATATATCGGACAGTCATCATATTTATTTCTTCTTTGTGGCTGTCATCCGACATTAGGTTCCTTTATTGGGGGACGGCCAATAACACCGTGTTGACAACTCACTATCGGTATTGTTTTTATTAAGCTTTGGAATGTGGATTAAGTGTCGAGTGAATGTAAATCAACGGCTTATCTTGGGTCAAGTAAATAATTAAATAAATAGCTTTGTAAAAACAATCCGCAAGCCGACTGCTAAGTGGGGGGATTAAGGTAACGCCCCCTTAAACGTAAGGTAATGGTTCAAAGTTCAACAGCGGATATTTTCCGGCTGATGGTTATCTGAGAAAATTATCTATACAACATATGTAGTGAAAAATACACCTAATATCTACAGGTACTTAGAACATCAATTTGTATGTTTGAAAAGCTCACGAGATCAAATATCTAAAGAACTTTTACTCAGAAGTAACACTTCAGTTACAATGTCAAAGAACCTACTATTTGATGGTTTCAAAAATAGAGATAGGTAATACAACAACATTCCAGGAACAGGAATAATGAAGACAGCGACGTTGATTCGCGGGAAAAATCTTTGGATTTTAATATTACGAGAGAAAAGTGACTCAAATCTCTTAGTACCTACACATAACATCACGCCTTTTATCCCCGAAGGGGTAGGCACAGGTGCACAGTATGCCACTGTACAATGTAACACCCACTTTTCACTATTTATGTTATGAGTCCCATTTAATAGGGGGTGAGCCTATTGCCATATACCGGGCACAATTCCAGACTCCGTGCTACTACTGAGAATTTTTTTAAAAACCCAGTAATACTTTGCCCGACCCGGGAATCGAACCCGAGACCCCTAGCCCGGCAGTCGCACTTGCGACCACTCGGCCAACGAGGCAGTCTCTTAGTACCTATATCTGAGGTAAACAGTAAAGAGCTTGTCGTAAAGTAAAAATATGAGAGAACTGAATAGAAATAGACCACAAAGTAGCCGATTAGAACCCAAATATGGTCTGTCCTCTAGATATGAATAATTTACAGACACTAGCTTATCAAGCTACCCTTTTATGTAAAATGTCTTCAGTAGATTTTCGACTTTATTGCGAAGGGGTAAGGTTGGATATGTATTGATTTGTAAGTAGGTATGGGTAGCTATCAATACCTTGTAAGTATGATCCATTTTATTTGTCCCATGCTGAATTTATATTTTGTTTCGCTCCAAAGCTGCCTCGTTGACCGAGTGGTTGCGAGTGTGGCTTCTGGACAAGAGGTCTCGGGTTCGATTCCCAAATCGGGTAAAGTATTACAGGGTTTAAAAAAATCTCAGCACGGAGTTATATGGCAATAGGCTCACCCCCTATTACATGGGACTCATAACATAAATAGTGAACAGTGGGTGTTACATTGTACAGTGGTATTAAGTGCCGTAATATTCACCTTTGCCTACCCCTTCAGGGATAGAAGGCATGATGTTATGTTATGTTTCACTCCAAACTGATGTAGCGTAACATAACATCACGCTTATAATGCTTCGAGGATTGGACAAAGATATGACACCAATTATTGGAAAAACATTCATACAACTTTGTTAAGCCATTGCGCACACCAGCGAAGAACAGTGATATGTTCTCAGCCTAGTACCAAAACTAAGATACTAAGATACTTCGCTCATTAGCCGAGGTTGCAACCATCGATCAATAGTTACGGCAGTACTAGATAAGTGACACAATAAAATACATAACTGATGATAAAGTGGGTGTTCCATTTATTAGTCTCTTCGACCAATCCCTTCGGTGATTAAAAGGCGTGGTATTATGCTATAGTATTTCCAACATAACATCACGCCTTTTATCCCCGAAGGGGTAGGCAGAGGTACACATTACGGCACTTAATGTCACTGTAAAATGTAACACCTATACTTTTCACTATTTATGTTATGAGTCCCATGTAATAGTGAGCCTATTGCTACATACCGGGCACAATTCTCGACTCCATGCTATTAGGTACTGAGAATTAGATAAAATGCCTTATTGTATTTCCAATCATATTAATATAACATTTCCGTTTATTAATGCGCTTTATAAATATTTTCCTAAGCAAGATTTATATCCTTTCTAAGTGGAGATTGCCCTCATTTCATATAAAGCACGATTCTTTTAATTTATTACCGATTACAGTAGCGGTTCCCATTGAAATCTTAATTGTATTAATTAATCGAACGAGCGGAGTACTCGGGCAACATTTAATGGCTTTGCTTTTAACATTAATTTATTTAGAATAAGTATCGATTTGAGTCTTATGTCAGAGTAAATGTATCTACTGTAATATACCTACTTTTCTTATTGTAATTTTGAGCATAGAGAATAATTTTCTGCAGGTATTTTTTTTTCTAGAAAAATCTCTTGGTAGGAAAGAAAGGCCTAAGAAAAACCCGTGTCACAATTTCACACACATCTGCTCACCCACCCACACGGCTAAGTACGTATACCTAGTTCATATTCAGTTAATAATTTGAAATTAATTAAATACTTTCATTAATCCATTAAAACTTAACCGCCACACGTGTAAACTGCAAAGAAAAACTATTTACAAATTACTTTCCACTACAAGAGCCACTTCATTATTTTCTAGAAATAAATTAAAAACTTTAAGCTCGAGTTGAGAGCAAATCTCATTTCACTATCATTTGAATTTAAATTCATTTTTAATTACCTTGAGAGGTAAGCTTCAGTCAAAGAGGGATTAGGGAACTTTCAAAGAACTTGCACTGAAGTCCGTTCCTTGCTGTGCGGACCGTCAGTAGTAGTCAGTATCATGTAAGGTGGCGCCGGCGACGGACGTAGTGTCGCTGCGTAGCGCTACGATCGCGTCGTGAACTCACTAAGTATAACAAAGTTGTTTTTCAATAAACATAGGTTTTAGTGGATTTATTGTAAATTTACATGAGTTTTAAAACTTATCTTTGAGTGTTATAAGTGCACAAAACATCAATTCTAAGTAACTTTGTAACATTAAAAAAAAAACTAAAAAGTAACTTTAAAAATTAAAAGTCGAACAAGTTTGATTAACATCAAAAACAAAATTTTTAATCTACTAAATAAAATAACAAGGTCTTCGAAAAAAAATGCTGGCCGCAAATTCTAATTCCAATTTCAAATAGCAAAAAAAAAAGAACACAATAAAAATGGCGGAGTTTTACCGCGCGAATGAAACGTCAGTGCAGTTTTACCAACGATGTACGAATATATCTTACTTCGATTGTTCGGAGGAGGAGATGCTATGGATTATGATGGGACCTCGCACCTTGCCTCTGCAGAAGATAGTTCCTATCTCTGTGCTCCTGCTGGTGATATTCTTGACCGGAGTAGTGGGCAACGTGGCTGTATGTGTGGTGATTGTGAAGCACCCAGCTATGCACACAGCAACTAATTATTATCTGTTCAGCTTGGCGTTGAGTGATCTTCTGTTGTTGCTGTTTGGTAAGTAAATAGTGTTTAGTATCCCTTCAATTTAGGAAGTTGGCATTGCTGTTTATAATGTTTGTAAAAGTTGCGTTTAAATATTTATACTAAAAATAATGCCAATTTTATAAAATATCTAAAACGTTTACATGGATATTAAAATAATTTACATTATTGTGTTTTATAATTTACGATTTTGTGTAGAGTCGAAAAAAACACAGAAAGCTCTATAATAAATATAAATTTTAATCAAAAATATCTCACGAGGTCAAGCATAGATTTTTAAGATGGCATATATTTGCGTTTAGACAGTCGCCTATCCTATCGTAAAAGAAAAATTACGAAACATTATTGAACACTTTTTATTAATTAAATCGATGCAGCTACATATTCGGTCCAAGAGCATCAGGGTAAAGACTTTAAAGAACAACTCGATAGTTGAGTAACTGTTTTCACGGTTGTTGTAGTAGCTGGGTGACTGGCTGCTGTGCTAAAGGCGAGGGGTACAGGTTGGATTCCCTCATGGAACCATTTTTTGTTGTTATTCCAGGTCTAGGTGTGATTGTGTATCTGACAGGTGTGGGGTGATATTAAAAAATCGTGGTACTTCTAAATTTTTTCAAAACGTTGCCCCGCTCTAGAATTTTCTCCTGTGTCGTGTGTGCATTTACAAACATACAAGTACACACACACATGACACCCAGACCCGAAATAACAATTTGTGGATCACACAAAGTGTTGATCCGTGCGGGAATCAAACCCGCAACACGTTGTACGGCAGCCGGTTGCCCAGCAACCGCACCAACCGTGCAGTCAAATTGTTTTTACCCAAACTTTTGTAAACTATAAAGGTCATTAAACTTGACTCGTAATGACTCGTTGCATTTGTTTCAAACATTTTAATCTGAACAAACAGATTAAAGACCGCTCTCTGTGTAATCCAAATATTTTCACATTGAAACGACGTATCTAAATTGAAAAAGTTAGCACTCCGAAATTGTTTTTATAAAGAAAATAACCGCTCGACAATTAATCTTAGGTACAAACATTGAAAAATCAAATAATTTAATGTATGTACTTGTATTAAGTTCAAAAATATATCTAAACGTATTAATTCTATTAAGGCCTAGAAAGGCAAGCAATGAAAGTAAAGATTATTTAAAATATATCAACATAATAAGCTCGTCTATAATCCATTAAGATTTTGACACTTTTTGTATGGAGCTTATGTCAAAATTCTATCTCAGTAAGCAAATCTACAGATAGATAAGTTAAAGAAAATGGCCGTTAGTAAAGTTGGTATAGCTTCACACACATTCGTTCAGTAGTTCTTGCGTAAATGAGTAACGAATCTTGCAACACCATCACAAAATTTCTCAGTATTTGAATCCCTAATCTCCAATACATAGAACATAGCAACTAATCCAGTACTCAATGTAAGTTCGTAATGAATCTCCCGATCGATACAAACGGTATATAGTTAACTCAAAGAAGTAATGATTTAATCTAAATTGTAAATCTTTGCAAACTCAGTCTCAATTCTCCGACTATTGTGACTGTATCTGCCATCAAAGTCAGATTTACAAGAATATTAAGTTAACTTCAAATTATTTTCGTAAGTAATTGCAATTTGATAATATTTTGTTACTATGTATAATGTTGCCTCGTTGGCCGAGTGGTCGTAGGTGCGACTGCCGGGCTAAGGGTCTCGGGTTCGATTCCCGGGTCGGGCAAAGTAATACTGGGTTTTAAAAAAAATCTCAGTAGTAGCATGAAGTCTGGAATTGTGCCCGCTATATGGCAATAGGCTCACCTCTTGTTACACGGGACCCATAACATATATAGTGAAAAGTGGGTGTTACATATATTGTACAGTGGCATATTCTGATTCTGATTCTAATGTGTACCTCAGCCTACCCCTTCGGGGATAAAAGGCGTGTTGTTATGATAAGTATAATGTCTGATGGCTGATGCCTTTTAATCCCCGAAAGCTAAGACAGAAATGCTACTGTTATTTACGATGTAAAACCCACTTTTCACCTATTAAGGTCCTGGTATACATGATAATTTCAAGCATGAAAGCAATCAATCTTCAATCGTGAATGAAACACACACGCACTAAGTGTAGTAGCGTGTGTGTCGGAATGTTCCTCAAAATTAGCGCGCTCATTTCAGGCATGTTTGCAAATCGACAAACGTTCGATTTTTGAACATTTTAGGGCATGCTCAAAAGAACGTCTTTTAGGTCGGAATACTCAAACGCTACCTACTCAATTTTAAGTCGCGCTCAAGTATAGTGCTGTCTATAGTATATGTATAGTGCTAAAATTCTTTGTAAAATGACAGAGATGGTACGATATTTAAGCACGATTTAAAATTGAGTAACATTTCAGTATTCCGGCATTAGCATGCTATATTTTTAAAGTATGACAGTACTATTAGCGTAGATGTTTGGACGTTAAGATGCTAAGCAAAAGTTATGTATTATTGACTTAGTTACTCTCTAAAATAATGCTAATTCTAGAAACTGATAAAAAAATATCTTATTTGTTATAAAATTGAAGCTTATTTTATTTTGTCAATATTTCGTTATTTATTCACCTGATTGACATTTGAATATATATTCGAGTTAGATTTAATTGTATTCGAAATATGTCAATCACTATTATTGGGTATTTATAGTTAAAAATTGACATTTATTTTTTTAGTCTGCAATTTGGTTTACTAGAAGTTCCTTGCCATTGATGTAGAAAGAGGTCGTGGTGGCCCGGAGGTTTAAGACGCCCACTTCTTATGTATGAGGATGCGGGTTCGAAACCTACCAACGGCAAGTACCAATGTGACTTTGTCCGAGTTATATGTACTTTCTAAGATTATTCAGACACCACTGACAAACGGTAAAGGAAAACTCGTGAGGAAACCTGGGCTTATAATTTCTTATTATAAGTTTGTTATCGCCAACCCGCATTAAGCAAGCGTGGTGATTAATGCTCAGACCTGCTCCGCGTGAGAAGACACTTTGCTCAGCAGTGGGCAGTTATAGGGTGTTGATGATGATGTAGAAAGAAATCCACGAAGTATTTCTACAATAAAATATCTAAATATTTTTTGCTGTGCTATGTTTTTTATTAACAGACATTATTAAACTTTAATAAGACTAACTGTATTAATAAAAAGAATTTATTATACACAATACAATACACGGTTTACTTCGATGCAGAATAAAAAAGCCCACGCATTGGGCAGATTTAATATAAGAAATAAATCGATGTTATCAAGTTACATATTGGTATCGAGTGGCGCTCTCGTAACATATGACTGACGATACTTCACATAAAGAATCGAAATCGAAGACACAATGTGACCCTTCGCCATGTGAAACTGAAATATAATAGATTTTTGTTTTTTAAAACCTTGCTCCAAAGGCCCACACTAGGATTTTCTTCTGAGTCGTGAGTGCGATTACAAACATACAAAATCTACATATTACATCACACATAAATCAGGAACAACTACTTGTTTGCAACATAATTCATCCTTTCTTTCTTTTTCCAATAAACTCATATTTATGAAGTTTCTTGCTCGTTCTTCTCCATTCGAATCTACAGATTGGAATGAGTACCTAGCTTTAATGACGGGCTGACGGACAGACTATTATTTATTTTGTGTTTGTTGACGTTTCAAAAGTATCAAATTATGGTTTAATTGAAATAAATGCTTTGACATTGACTTTGACTTTGACTTCGAGCTAGACAGAGTCTGTGTTTAAGAAATGTGTACACGTTGGCTGTTATTAAGTCCTGAGGGAATGTGCAAAATGTGCTATGGGCACTTTGGGCAGGCACGCTCCATCATAGGCCGCATCATAGGCCCTACTTATCGCCTGGTACAATCTATATACATAACACAACTTTTATCTCCAAAGGGGTAGACAGAGGCACATTACGGCACTTAATGCCACTGTATACATAGGTATACATTAGGGTTACATTATAGAATGTAACACCCACTTTTCACGATTTATGTTACGAGTCCCATGTAATAGGGGGTGAGCCTATTGCATATACCGGGCACAATTCCAGATTCCGTGCTACTACTGAGAATTTTTTTAAAACTCAGTAATATTTTGCCCGACCCGGGTATTGAACCCGAGACCCCTTGCCCGGTAGTTGCACTTGCGAACACTCGGCCAACGAGGCAGTCTATATGTTATCTATATCTTATAGTTTAGTATTAATATCTGCCCCCAAGCCGAAATGTAAAACCCGAATATTGAACATATGTTTTGAACCCAAGACTATGTATTTGCAGTATCGCTTTCAACCTTTCTCACAACGATGCTAATAAATACTATAATTCCCTGCACACAAAGGTTATAGGCATGAATTTAAAGAAACCGCGTTTCTTTAATGGGCCTTAAATCTTTTTTATTATAGTACACGGGAAATTGACTCTTAAAGCCATTAAAATTTTGATTCACTTTGGTATTTTTTTGTGGATGTTCTTGACAGTAAGCATCAAGGCTTTATGTAAGATGAATTAATTGTGTAGCGCAGTTGTTTGAAAGTTTGCAACGAAACCGACGAGAGGAGGTTCTCAATACATTTCTTCATGTAAAGCTTCATCATCATAATCATCATCATCAACAGTCTATAAATGCCCACTGCTGAACAAAGGCTCTTCTCACACGGAGAAGGTTTGAGCATTAATCACCACGCTTGCTCAAGGCAGGTTGGCGATTACAGACTTATAATTAGAAATTATAAGCCCAGGTTTCCTCACGATGTTTTCTTTCACCGTTTGTCAGTGGTATCTAGATAATCTTAGAAAGTACATATAACTCGGAAAAGTCACATTGGCCGTTGGTAGTTTCGAACCCACACCCTCATGCGTGAGAAGCGGGCGTTTTAAATCTCCGGGCTACCATGACGACTCTTAAACCTTTGGGCCGGGTAAAGCTTGAATTATTGGTATTAAATAAAGAGAGTAAATAAAGAGTTTGAGTTTGAGTATTTACT